AGTCTGGGAGCAGCAAACTCGAATGCACCCTCCCCACGAGCTTTATATCTCATTTTAGGAATATGGAGCAGTAGATGGTCATCAGACCTTAGTGACCTGGAGGGGATGTAGGGGGTAAGCAGCTCTGTCAAGTGTAGGGGGGCTAGACCATTCAGGGCTTTGAAGACAAAAGTTAAAAGTTTGTATTTCAGTCAAAAGTGCACAAAAAGCCAGTGAAGATCAGCCAGAATGGGAGGGATGTGACAGTGTCTTTTTGTGTTTGAAAGAAATCTTGCTGCGGCATTCTGGACTTCCTGTAAACGGTTGAGGGCAGATGCATTCACGCAGATGAGAACTGAGGTGGAATAGTCCAGTCTGGGGGTGATAAATGCATGAATAACAGATTCTAAATATGGCCTCATAAGAATGGGCTTTAGACGAGTAAGGCGTCAAAGCTGGAAGAAACAGGATCTAACAGTGGCATTAACGTGTGCAGACATTAACAAATCGGTATCCAGTTTAACCCCAAGGCTGGTCACACAGGGATTAAGGTTTAGGGAGGAGAGATCAAAGGCAGCAAATGCAAATAATGTTTTTGTTTGAAAAGAATGGCCTTGGTCTTATTGTCATCGAGAAATGTTTAAACCAAATTAGACGTGCATAAATTTGGGCACCACAAAAAAAGAAATGAAGTTAATAATTAGTTGATTGTCCTTTTGCAGAAATAATAGCCTCTAAACGCTATCTATACCTTCCAGTGAGAGTCTGGGTTCTGGTTGAAGGTATTTTGGACCATTCTTCTTTACAAAACATCTCTAGTTCATTCAGGTTTGATGGCTTCTGAGCATGGACAGCTCTCTTTAAAGTCATACTCTGCAACTTTTTCATATTTTTAAAAGATTTTCTTGAGCCAGTATGAGCTAAAATGACACTTTACATGGTTAATGAAAGGTCACTCGGACCCCCACCGGTCCTCTCTGGCCAGAAAACTGAATTTCAACTTCAGACTGGAAGGTCGCTCTGTTGGCTGACATATCTGGCATGGTTCCAGCATGTTTCCTGCAAGTTTTAGCTAATGAACACATCTCATTTGTTTCATTTAGTGATGAATCACTCATGTAGAAACGAGGGCTGGGCGATATATCGATGTTTTTAAAATATCGATATAATTTTTAAATAAGATACAAGATGACTTTATCTTTATATCGATATAACTGGTCAAACTGCTATGCTAGTGATTAGCCGCTATGCTAGCGACGTGTTGCTCCATCTCTAAGCGGTTATTACGTGTATTCTTACAAGTATGCTCAATCTGAGGGCCTCTGGGTAAATGTGCTGCTCTAAACTTTGCATTTGGCGTTCTGGTTTTTAATTATTTGGGGACGTTCAACGCCAACAGTGTCTCACCCTGTCCTGTCTCCCCATTCTGTTCAGTCCTGTGTCCATGTTAATCGATCCCACCTGCCTCTCGTCTTCCAATCACTCCAGGTCCCAGCCCCTCATGTATTTAAACCCTTTCAGTTCTGTGTGTTTAGTCAGTTCATTGTTTTACGTCCAGCGTGTTTTATATTAAAAACCTCATTGAATATTCCTGCCTGCCTGCTTCTTCACCCGCATTCAGATCCTCACCTCCGCTCACCACACCCGCACGTTGCGACAGAATGAACCGACCTCCTGAAGGATCCAGCGGGGAAGTCCTGCCCTGGGACGGTCTGCTCCCAGGGCTCACCAGCTTCAGCTCCGCACCATCCGCTTCACAAACGCCTCGACACAGACGCCGCTGTCAAACCTTGGTCGTGGCGATCCCCTCCAGCCTCCCGGAGCCAGATGGGAGGTTAGGCTGGGAGCCGCAGCTGGACCGTTATGGCTTTCTAGGCACTAGCCCTTCGGTGTGCTCTCCTGGAGTTGGTCTCTGGCGCTGGAAGGGAACCCAGGCCCTGCCGTCACATCCAGCACAAGATCTGCGCCACAGGCGCGCTGCGGTTCCGGCTGATGTCACCCCCGGCTGCACGGTCTCCTCCCACTCCAGGGGGACAATGAGAGGGACCAAACCGGCGGTCGACCCGGCGAAGTTTGCCTTTCTCCAGGCTGAGCTGGTCAGTCTGAAGAATCTCATCAGCCTCCAGGAGTTCCAGCTGAACACTATCTTCCCTGGTTCTCCAGGAGGCGGTACTCCGGTCAGCGCCTCCACTCCCGTCAGCGGCACCGCCACTGGTACAGCCTGTCCAAGAGGTTCCGCTCGTGGTCCAGCCTGTCCATGAGGCTCTGTCCCCGGCCCAGCCTGTCCATGAGGCTCTGTCCCCGGCCCAGCCTGTCCATGAGGCTCTGTCCCCGGCCCAGCCTGTCCATGAGGCTCTGTCCCCAGCCCAGCCTGTCCAAGAGGCTCCGCCCCTGGCCCAGCCTGTCCAAGAGGCTCCGCCCCTGGCCCAGCCTGTCCAAGAGGCCCCACCGCCGGCCCAGCCTGTCCAAGACGCTCTGCCACCGCCGGCCCAGCCTGTCCAAGAGGCTCTGCCACCGCCGGCCCAGCCTGTCCAAAGGCTCTGTCCCCGGCAGCTCCGCCTGTCCAAGAGGCTCCGCCCCCGGCACTTCAGGTCCAGTCGTCAGTGCCACGTCCAACGCTTCAGGTCCAGTCGTCAGCGGCACGTCCGGCGCTTCCGGCCAAGTCGTCAGAGCCAGGTCCAGCGCCTCCGGCCAAGTCCGCGCCTCCAGTCAGACTCCGGCCTTGCCTCCGGTGCTTCAAACACAGGCCCCCTAGACTCCGTCTTGGCCTGTGTTGGGCGTCCTGTGCCGCCCTTTAGAGGTGGGGTACTGTCACACTCTGTCCTGTCTCCCCATTCTGTTCAGTCCTGTGTTCATGTCAATTGCTCCCACCTGCCTCTCGTCTCCCAATCACCCAAGGTCCCAGCTCCTCCTGTATTTAAACCCTGTCAGTCCTTTTTGTCTGGTCGGTTCATTGTTTCGTTGTCCTGCGTGTTCTATATTAAAATCCTCATTGAATGTTCCTGTCTGCCTGCCTCTTCACCCGCATTTGGATCCTCACCTCCACTCACCACACCCGCACGTCGTGACAAACGGAGTTCTGTTTTTCCATCCTGCTTGTGCGGAGACGAGCCAAAGCCCTCCCTCCCCTGTGTAATTAGGAAACATCTGCAGATAGATGGAGCGGTCAAATTACCTCAAACAAATTGTAAGGAGTTGAATAGTAACCTATAGAGTTAACGTTTTATTTTGAAGGCAAGCTCAATGGATAAGAAATGTTGTTCCGGTTTCGTTTTTTTTCGCTGTGGTTTGCTATGCTAGTAAATACTCCGTTACAAGCGATTCTGTTGAAAAAGTTAAGAGTTTGTAAGGCATGGGTTCCGGCAACAGTAGCCCAAAAATAAGACTGATAAAAGAGCAACCAGAGACTCTGAGTCATTACAGTATAATCACTGATATGAGCCAATACTGTTAGACTCCAGCCACGTTTGCCCTGATAACTAATAACTCCACGGTGCGTGACCCATGTGATCTTCAGTAGATGCAATTGCATCATCATACATTTAGCTTAACATGACAGATTTATTTTCTCTGGACTAGAAATATATGATATCAGCCCACCTCTAGATGAAAATTAAATAATTTTACATTAATTATAAATATATAATTAAAATGTGCCTGTGGGACATTTGATACACCTCTAGCTCTCAACTGTGTGTGTGTGTGTGTGTGTGTGTGTGTGTGTGTGTGTGTGTGTGTGTGTGTGTGTGTGTGTGTGTGTGTGTGTGTGTTAGCAGATAGCTGTACCAGTGTTTCTAAAGCTCAGACTGGTAGAGAATAGGCACTAAGGGAAAAGTTTGACAAGAATCAATACATTTTTATGCATTTTATCTACTGATTTATGTTTATAATTTCTCAAGACAGCTTGAAGTGAGTTAACTTGTAAATATTTTACAGGAGGAAAAATATCGTGATATATATCGTATATCGAAGTTCAGCAAAAACATATCGAGGTATAAGTTATGGTCCATATTGCCCAGCCTTAGTAGAAACCACTGAAGGCTGGAGAGATATTTCAGCTGTTAGATTAAGGTTTTAAAAAGATGAACACACGGCGAGGAGATAGGTTTTGCTTTCGGTTGTACAAACGGACACCGGGGTGCTAAAAGGAAGCAAAACTGCCAAGTGTGCCTTTAACTCACACCACAGATTTTCAATCAAATTCAGGTCTGTGGACTGAGATGGTCATTCACGCTGTTCCTATTCCTCTACATGAAGACCTTAGTAGATGTTAAACAGTGTTTAGGGTCGTTGTCTTGTTGAAAAATCCAGCCCCGGTGCAACTTCAGCTTTGCCACTGATTCCTGGACATTGGTCTCCAGAATCTGCTGATATTAAGTGGAATCCATGCGTCCTCAACTTTAACAAGATTCCCAGTCCCTGCACTGGCCACACAGCCCACAGCATGATGGAACCACCACCATGTTTTTCCTGTAGGTAGCAGGTGTTTTTATTGGAATGCTTTGTTCTTTTTCCTCCGTACATAACACCCCTTGTTACGCCCAAATAACTCAATTATCGGTTCACAGCACCTTATTCCAGAATGAAGCTGGCTTGTCCAAATGTGCTTTGGCAAACCTTAAGCTGCTCTGTTTGTGCTGTGCGTGGAGAATAGGCTTCCTCTGCATCACTCTCACATACAGCAAATCCTTGTGGAAAGTGCACAGAATAGTTGAATGATGCACGGTGACTCCATCTGCAGCAGGATGATGTTGTAGGACTTTGGTGCTGGTCTGTGGGTTGACTCTGACTGTTCTCAACGTTCTTCACTTCTGTTAACCTGAGGCCCCTCATGTGCCTCTCTGCCTGTGAGTAAGCAGACTAGTTCTCTGTGTAGACTTAAACAGAGCCTGGCAGGCCAGGCTACTACTTTAATGCTAAAACTGCTCACTTACTGTCATTGAACACATTTATTGGGACTTTTGATGAATTTGATGAAGTTACAAGTGTCTCTAAACCTTTGTGTTTGTGTATCTCACCAGGCTCTGTGCAAGAAGGAGCACCGAGCCTGCGAAAGTCCCGACACCGAGTCCTCCTACTTCCTCACCCCCAACACGGAGGAGAAATACAAAAGGATCAACGAAGAGTTTGATAACATGATGAAGAGTCACAAAATTGTATGTTTCATCACATCATTTATTGTTGGGTGTTTTCCATGTTAACGTAGACAGACCCATTTTATGTCTTTACGTCCAAAACAGTGATTCCATGTCTCATGACTAAACTCTTTTGCTGTTGTTTTAATCAGACGACAGGCCAACCACAGCAGCACTTCCTGCACGCGGCACCAGGCAGCACAGCGTATTGTCCTGCTGCAGGAGGAGGAGGAGGGCTTTCCCATCCACTAGCTGCAGCTACAGCAATCCTGGCCAACAGCGGCATCCTCTCTTCACCTCACACACATCCTCACAGAAACACAAACTCCACACAAAGAGCTCCCAGCTGTACAAGCACAGGTTAGTGTGACCCATAGAAAGACAACAGATTAACATTTTAATCTAGATTAGTTTTAGCATAGATAAAAGCTATACTAAAGTTAGAACAGACTTCCGTCTTCTCTTCTGGCACTCGCAGAGTACAGACGCTTCCCTTTTTGCTCCCTTATCTTTTTTCCCAAGGCTCTTTGTTCTGTCTGCCCACAGAGTGCTTCTCTGCACTTCTCCTGAAAAACCCTATTTTTTAGAAATAGATTTAATTAGTTGGTCATTCAACGCGATTGATAAGATTTTTTTCAACGATGAGAACGGAGCAGGGGGCTCCCACTTGCCCACAAGGGACACACCCGGCGGGGTATATGCTCGATTCCTGGAAAGAATGGAGGATCGTATGCCTCTCCCAGTTGTCAATTGAGGACGTTGAAGATGTGTGGATGTTTGGCCTGATGATCACTGGATTTCTTCTGATTGGAGTAGGAGGATATCTGGTTTTCTGGACATTTGGGAAGACGGGAGCGATTGGAGGGCGTCCCGCACCCACGGAAAGCACCGCGTGTGGAGACCTTACAGACAGGGACGCTACTCGAGGTGAATCGTAAGCTGGATAATGTTCTAGCTGCGTTACCGGAGAGAGTCACCGGACGGTGTGGAGATGTTCAAAACCTGAATTGGCTTCACTGGAGGACTTGAATGATCAGTTACAGACTTGAAGGCAGAGAGCAAAATTATCTCTGCCTGACCCAAACAAAGTCTTGTTATCCGAATCTGACACCATGGCAGCCTTGTGAATGCCAACAGCAAACCCCCACAAAGGAATGCAGACAGATGCTGTGAAAACCCGGCCTACCCCCCCCCCCCCCCCCCCCCCCCCCCCGCCTTCAGATTGGTGGACTTCAGCCTGGCGAGGTCATCAACCTGCAGGTGTCAATGTGCTCTGCGCTCCTCCCAAGATCTCCCTCCCACCTGTGGCTACAGAGGATGAGCGCCATACAGGGCTGCTCTCGCTGGGGAAACAGGATCCCAGCCCCCCCCCCCCCCCCCCCCCCCCCCGGTGTCATGTTGTGAACTGTTGAAGTTCGTGCTTATATGTTTGAGGCGTTTTTTTGCATAGTAAAGCTACGCCCTGCCTTTTTTTCCCCTCCCCCAATTTATCCTCATGTAATCCCCTTTTCATCTAATTGAAATGAGCACCGTTATGGGATCTTGTGGTCTGCCTGTATCTGTTCTGTCTACATGTGTGTGTGTAACCTTGGTCAGGCTGTGCTGCGGAGTCAAGTTCCTATGCTCTGGGTTGCTGGAGCACTGGCAATAAAGCTTTTTCTGATTCTGATTCTAACATGTGATCAGTGAAATGAAAAGTGAAAGAGCTGCAGGCGTGTTTCTCCTCAGGAAGCCTCCAGGACGGCTCTAGTCTGGCTCTGCACAACGGATCTGGAGCTGCTGGTATGTGTTTTATAAACATGCTCTGACAGGTCCAGAACACGCTCACGTATACACACATACACACACACACTGTTGGTTTTGGGTCCATCAAGAGAATTCCCTCACCTCAGGACAAAGGATAATGGTATTCTTCAGAAGGGAATATTTGGATCTACAGCTGATTTAGCATTGCCTCCATCCCCAGATTCGGAGGACACTACTATGAGTTCAAACTCATCACATTTACAGAATCCAGTCTAATATTTGTTGAGATAGAAGCTGAGTGCTGGCAGACTGTGTGTGATCTAATAGAACAGTGTTGCTTTTTAAAGATTTGACCCAAACGGATTTAATTTATTCATTTCTCGAGTTTAATTCTCAAACTCGAAAGGCAGATAGTGGTTTTCATTCCTCCAAGCAATATCTAATTAAAAAAATGTGTTTTGCTGTTTTATAAGTTTGCTCTAAATGTGAACAGCTGGGATTTCTTTTCCTCACTGATCATTTTCATTTATAATTGTCTTTATTCAGTGAATGTGAGTCCCAGTGGTGGAAGCAGCTTGGGGAAGACTGTGGCACCAAAATCTGCTCTTTCCCCCCAGGGAAACAGCCCGGTCCCTGGCAGCCGTAAAACCGACCTACGAGTGGTCGTCCCCCACTCCACAGGACTGCTGCCGGTAACTTTTACCTTTCAAATCATCAAAAATCAGAGGTGGGAACCTTGGTCCTCAAGCATTGCTATCCTGTATGTTTTATTTCTTTCCCTGCTCCAACACTCCTTATTCAGTGGTTCAATCACCTGTTTAGCAGCTCATTAAGCTCTGTAGAAGTGTCTTAAATCTAAAATAACAAAGCTACACAACAAGCTAGCTTAAAGGTTTTTTTCATGTCTCTTAATGACGCTCTAAATATATAATGGAGATTAACTCATTCACTGCCATCCGTTTCCTGATTGCTAAAGGCCTTCGCTGCCAGCGTTTCTCACCGTTTTTACAGTTTTTTTAATAGTCACAGAACGTTGCGCGCTAGGATGATGTCGACACCAAAACAAAGCAAAGCAGAGACTCGCCTCTTACATCAGGAAGAATCTGCGCGTTTCGAGCTCTATCTGTTCTTTCATAATCCGTTGTCGAATTGTGATCAACAGAAGCTTTTCCAGTTTGCGCCTCACTTTTTTTTACAGCAGCAGCCCAAAACGATCTCCTAACACATGGATTTTCTGCCTCCTGATCACGTGACGTGTGACGTATGCGGATGAAGATTGGCTCTAGAGATGTTTGTTCTCACGGTGCGGGTGCTCGTTCCCGTGAAGGAGTGAAGGAGTTAAAGGAGACATATCATGCTTTTAAATAATTCCCTTTTGCAACTAAATCATTCACTTGGGGTCTAAATACAGTGGAACTGCAGTTCTTTGGTCTGATTTCCTCATTATTGTTGCTCTATAGACCCCTCATCTACGCCTGTTCGGAGGAGTCTGAGACTGAGCCGTTTTTGGGTACTGCATCTTTAAATCTGGAGAAGGAGCTGCACCCCCCCCCCCCCCTCCACAGTGCAAACCCTCCTCCCCCAGTCGGACTTTGTAGTTCTATAGAGAAATCATTATTTAGCGTAGCAGAAACATTATATTAGCATTTTTAAAACATGTGGGAAGAGTTGTCCATCAAGCTGTGTCAGGGCTGCTAACTCTCTCATGCATTTGTCTGTATTCACACGCTGTCACGTCGCGAATTTCCAGATCACATTTTATCCCACGAAAATTAGCCGAATTCACATTTTTCTGGGTGCTAACTTTACTAGCGTATTGTTAGCAGGTCGAACGCTAATGCTATAGTGCTGTTAATTCCTGTGCATCTAAAGTAAAGTTTGCCAACATTTTAGAGTGATATGAAGCTCACGGCTTTGCTGCTGTGTCCGTTACCACCACATTCAGAAGGAAATGACTCCTTTTAGAAGAAGCCCTCGGTACTAGCCGCTAGCCTTGGACACACACACACACACACACACACACACCTTTCTTCTTCTGTGTTTTTTTTAGCAGTGTCATCGGCTTCTGGGTTTTAAATACTGTCACACCACCCTTCTTTAAAACGTGGAACATTTTTGAGCTGTGTGGCTAAAATAACCAGACATTCTGCATATGTCACATTGAGCAGGGGTTAGGACCCAAAACGCAGAAACACTCGAGACAGGCGCAGATGAAATAAGTAAATCCTTTATTTAAAGGAGGAGAGTTGATCCAGCGGTTAAAAAATACAAAAACAGAAGCTCAAAAACTGAGCACGGACAAGGGCAAAACTCTGGAGAAGACAGAACAACGTAGACACAAAACAATGGACCGACAAACACTGAAGACAGGGGTTTTAAACACAGAGGGAGGTGATCAGGGGAACGGGTGACAGGTGTGAGGAGTGAGATCTGGAGGGAAGGCAGGTGCATACAATAATCTAAATGGGGGAAAGAAACAAGCAGGAGGACAGATAAACCTAAACTTATAAAACACAGATAACTAAACTTAGAGACTGAGGGCAAATATAAACAACTAATAACTAGAGGGATGAGGAGAACTAATATAAAACCAAGTAGGGACTAACAGGGAGTGATTAGGAGGACACCCGAGGGAAGCCTAGAGAGAGCTGGGGATAATAAAGAAGACACAAGAGGAGAACCTGGAGTGAGAACAGGAGGGGCTGGGGACCAGAGGGACACAGAACAAGACAGGAGCACAGGGACGCTGAACAGGACACACGTGAGGAGGACGCAGGATGCAGAACATGACAGCATTCTTCCAACTGGACTACAAAAGTCTTAGCGAGAAGAAAACATGGCGGATCAGCTCTGTGTTTAGCCAGATGTCCTGGGCCATTTTTGGCAGTTATCGTGAAAACAGTCAAAAGATGTATTAGACAAATTCAAAAACTGAACAGGTGGACAAATATGACCAAAACTTTAGAATAAAATATCTTAATAGCACGCTTAGACGCTTAAAATGCGAAACACAATGGAATAAGTGACCTTTTCATGATATGTCTTTGTTAAGCTTCTTTTTCTGAACCGTTGTGGGATGACAATCTGCTGGACTTTTCCCCAGGTAGCACCTTTAACTTTTGGGTTGTCCCGATAGCGCATTAACACATCATTTTCCTAGCAGTGCCCAGCTTTTCTGGCTACTGCACTGTTAACTTCTGAAAAACACTTGTCTAAACTCTGATCTGTGTGTTGCACTTCCACCATCACTTTGTTTTGAAACTGTGTGGACGACATACATAAATGTGAGTGTGGCTTGTTGAGGACAATTATTTAGTATTTGTTTGTTTGATGTTTAATTACAAGACTCGCTGCAGCGTATTGACAGGTGTTTAAAATCGGATCTTTGTTCAATAAGTAAAAGTTAAAAAGTCAGGATCAAACCCACAAACCACCACCTAACCTCTTGGCCACAGCAACACTTATGGGCTGTGTCGGGTTTCGGTTAACCCCACATTCCCTCAACTGTCTGTGATCCGCCACGATAATAACGTTACGTTACGTTTAAATAAAGAACGCAAGAAAACCTTTACTGTAAGGGTCATCCATTGGTAGTTAAAGTAAAAGTACATTTTTATAAGTCTTTCTCTTCTTTTAGAAACAGACTGAAAACTTTTCCAGTAAACTACGGAGTCGTAAACGTTGTACGAAAGGGAGTTAACTCTCAGTGTGGACGGGTTTAGACCGATGCAGAAACAATCCTCTGATATGGTCTGCTTTTATTCTGAGGAGTACCACAAATAAGCCCTTGGAGTTTTTACAGTAAAATCCCTGATGATGTTTTTATAATCTAGTTACAGAAAGGAAACAGGCTGAACTAAAATATTTGGCTTTTTCAAAGTGGACCTTCCCATTCCTGAACCGCTTCTGTTCTGTGTTTTGTATGCAGCATCATTTTAGAGAGAACACACATCTGGTTTAAACATGACTGCGGCTTTAACGTGTAACTGGGAGGACTTGAGTCATATTCACCACGCTCCACTCACCATTCTGTTAGTGATCAGTCAGTGGCTGATATCCTATCGGAGTCAGCATGAACCCACCCTGTGGTCACATGGAGGATGGAGAGGTGCAACATCAGTGATCTCTGATTCACCAACACCTTCTAAACACTTCTTCGTTTCCTCCTCCTGGATGTTTGTGTGAGCTGAGTTCAAATGTTTAATCCCTTCTCTTGCTGGTCTGGTTTTACTGGAAACACTGGAAGTAAGCCAACAGTTCGCACTGGTCTTCTTCCTTCTCCACCTTACAGAAGAGTCATCCTTAACTTTTACTGAGACACGCTTGTCTGCTGTGTGAAGACTTTTGGACGCATCATTTCCTTTTAACATGTATTTCCTTCAGCTTTTTAACAGGTTTTACTGTGAAAGTGTGATGCCGGAACACTTTCCAGATATTGTTAGTGTTAATGTGTTGTCGGTTTGTTAGGGCTACGGTCCAAAGCTCCTCATGACTCTAGTGAGGAAAAAGGTTTCAGGAAGCGAGTGAGAGTGAGCGTAGTGCTTAGTTCACTTTCCCTTTCATCAGGGTTGTTGATGTCATCTGTCAGACAAGAACTTTAAAATTAAACACATTAAGAGCTGAGCGTGTGTGTGTGTGTGTGTGTGTGCGTGTGTGTGCGTGTGTGTGCATGTGTGTGCATGTGTGTGCGTGTGTGTGTGTGTGTGTGTGTGTGTGTGTGTGTGTGTGTGTGTGTGTGTATGTGTGTGTGTTTGTGCATGCATACGTGCGTGTGTGTGTGTAAGTGTTTGTGAGCGCATGTGTGTGTGCATGTGTGTGTGTGTGTGTGTGCGTGCCTGTGTATGTATGTGCGTGTGTGCACTTGCCTAGGTGTGTGTGTGTGTGTGTGTGTGTATGTGTGTGTGTGTGTGTGTGTGTGTGTGTGTGTGTGTGTGTGTGTGTGTGTGCATGCATGTCTATGTGTGTCTGTGTGCATGTGTGTGCGTGCGTGCCTGTGTATGTATGTGCGTGTGTGCACTTGCCTAGGTGTGTGTGTGTGTGTGTGTGTGTGTGTGTGTGTGTGTGTGTGTGTGTGTGTGTGTGTGTGTGTGTGTGTGCATGCATGTCTATGTGTGTCTGTATGCATGTGTGTGTGTGCGTGCCTGTGTATGTATGTGCGTGTGTGCACTTGCCTAGGTGTGTGTGTGTGTGTGTGTGTGTGTGTGTGTGTGTGTGTGTGTGTGTGTGTGTGTGTGTGTGTGTGTGTGTGTGTGTGTGTGTGTGTGTGTGTGTGTGTGTGTGTGTGTGTGTGTGTGTGTGTGTGTGTGTGTGTGCATGCATGTCTATGTGTGTCTGTGTGCATGTGTGTGTGTGCGCGCGCGCGTGTGCATCTGTTTGTGTGTGTGTGTGTGTGTGTGTGCGTGCGTGCGTGCGCGCGCGTGTGCATCTGTTTGCGTGTGTGTGTGTGCACGTGTGCATCTGTTTGTGTGTGTGTGTGTGTGTGTGTGTAAAGTAAATGTAGTAGAATACATTAGTTAATTATGACCAATAAGATGTGATATTCCATACAAATATGAAATATCAATCTGATTGATCTTTGAATGTTTAATCAGAAGATTCTAGAGTTCTTTGCTTATTCAGGGACCATAAACACACTTCATATTAACTCAGACAGAGCCAGTATATAGTTTATTAAATGAATCAAATTATTTTTCCTAAAGTAATGATACATGACGAGGTATGAATAATGAGATGTAGTGCGGTGGATGTGAGGTGTTGTGATGGAAGCTAGATGTTGTGGCAACCGTTCTTTGTATCTGAGAGAAAATTTGAAATCTGGGTGTAAAAGATTTTATTGTTTGGTTCTAAACTAGAGAGTTGGTTATTAAAAACAGCATCAGGCACAGTCTATCGTGCCAAGTCTACGCACCCTTGGTGTGGAGGTTCTTGTTCGATCTGGGAGGTCGATGGTCACTGCTGGTGGAGTGAACTCTGATATCAGAGACCCGTAGATAGTTCCAGTAAGAGCCGTCCAGTCTGAGATCCCTCCACATGACGGCAGGAAGCTGGAATGCTTATTTGCATCCAAGGTGGATGTCTGAGAGTTAAAGTAGCTCTGAGAAGAGCTGTTTGGCTGTATCAGCTTGCAGCGTCGCAGAAAGGCTTTTGACTGGAGGTCAAAAGAGATGTCTCAAAGAGGCTTGTTCGCAAATTGGCCGATTCAAGAATCAGCTACAAACTAAATTAATCGGGAAGTAGTTCTTGTCTTAATAAATCACAATGTTATGAGTTTTGGCCAAGTTTGGCAAATCAGAATTTGACACGTTTCTGAGTATTTACCAACATCCCTCAGAAAGCCACGCCCTCTTGTGTGAGGTGAATATTAGCCTTAATATGTATCTTATTGTAATGTGTATTAGTGTAGATAATGATTAACTTGTTAAATCAAACACATACTGATTTGTGATACAAATGGATCATTGTAAGAACAATATTCATTTTAAATTCATTGATTGAAGCACAGATTACAGGTGCTGGCCAGTAAATTAGAATATCATCAAAAGGTTGAAAATATTTCAGTAATTCCATTCAAAACGTGAAACTTGTACATTATATTCATGCAATGCACACAGACCAATGTATTTCCAATGTTCATTACATTTAAATTTGATATTTATAGGTGACAACCAATGAAAACATCAAATCTGGTATCTCAGAAAATTAGAATATTCTAAAGGCCAATGAAAAAATGTTTGTTTCTCTAATGTTGGCCAACTGAAAAGAATGAACATGAAAAGAATGTGCATGTATAGCACTCAATACTTAGTCGGGGCTCCTTTTGCCTCAATAACTGCAGTAATGCGGCGTGGCATGGACTCGATCAGTCTGTGGCACTGCTCAGGTGTTATGAGAGCCCAGGTTGCTCTGATAGTCGTCTTCAGCTCCTCTGCATTGTTGGGTCTAGCGTATTGCATCCTCCGCTTCACAATACCCCATAGATTTTCTATGGGGTTAAGGTCAGGCGAGTTTGCTGGCCAATCAAGGACAGGGATACCATGGTCCTTGAACCAGGTGCTGGTGGTTTTGGCACTGTGTGCAGGTGCCAAGTCCTGTTGAAAGGTGAAGTCTGCATCCCCATAAAGTTGGTCAGCAGCAGGAAGCATGAAGTGCTCTAAAACTTCCTGGTAGACGGCTGCATTGACCCTGGACCTCAGGAAACAGAGTGGGCCAACACCGGCAGATGACATGGCACCCCACACCATCACTGACGGTGGAAACTTTACACTGGACCTCATGCAACGTGGATTCTGTGCTTCTCCGCTCTTCCTCCAGACTCTGGGTCCTTGATTTCCAAAGGAAATGCAGAACTTGCTTTCATCAGAAAACATAACTTTGGACCACTCAGCATCAGTCCAGTCCTTTTTGTCCTTGGCCCAGGTGAGACGCTTCTTGCGCTGTTTCTTGTTCAAGAGTGGCTTGACACACGGAATGCGACACCTGAATCCCATGTCTTTCATGAGTCTCCTCGTGGTGGTTCTTGAAGCGCTGACTCCAGCTGCAGTCCACTCTTTGTGGATCTCCCCCACATTTTTGAATGGGTTTGTCGTCACAATTCTCTGCAGGGTGCGGTTATCCCTAGAGCTTGTACACTTTTTTCTACCACATTTTTTCCGTCCCTTCGCCTGTCTGTTAATGTGCTTGGACACAGAGCTCTGCGAACAGCCAGCTTCTTTAGCAATCACCTTTTGTGTCTTGCCCTCCTTGTGCAAGGTGTCAATGATTGTCTTTTGGACAGCTGTTAAGTCAGAAGTCTTCCCCATGATTGTGGTGCCTTCAAAACAAGACTGAGGGACCTTTTAAAGGCCTTTGCAGGTGTTTTGAGTAAATCAGCTGATTAGAGTGGCAGCAGGTGTCTTCTATATTCAGCCTTTTCAGAATATTCTAATTTTTTGAGATACCAAATTTGGAGTTTTCATTAGTTGTCACTTATGAATATCAAATTTAAATGTAATGAACATTGGAAATACATTGGTCTGTGTGCATTGCATGAATATAATGTACAAGTTTCACGTTTTGAATGGAATTACTGAAATATTTTCAACCTTTTGATGATATTCTAATTTACTGGCCAGCACCTGTATAACTTTAAAATCCTGTAGGAGCTTCAAGTAGATGGTGAGGAATCAGCAGTCTGGCTTTTACGCAGAGTGCAGGACCTTGGGAGAGAATGTCTGTCTTGATGTTTTGTCTTCATGAATGTAAACAAGCACTCAGCAGAACCTTCTGGAATTGGAAGGCCTACTAGAAAGTGGATTTATTTCTGTAGATGAAAGGTTAATATGTTGATCAATATATAGGAGAAAATGAACCTGTTTGGTACGTTACATAAGGACACGGTTCAGGCTGAAGCCATTGCTGATATAGTCAGGCTGGACGTCCAACAGCTCAGAGACGACAGTGGTTTGTGACATATGGAGATAAAAGCCTCTCATGACGCGAGCTGACCCAACAATGACCTCATCAGGGCTTCAGACTCTGTCATTTTATGACTTTTATATTCTGATCTGTAGTCCAGGTCATTTTACCATTGAAGTGAAATTGTAGTTTAAGTCTTACCCCTTCTTTCCACGGGAGCCGTCAGCAGCACGTTACTGCAGCAGCACGTCATAGCTGCTGATAGGAACTGCTGTGGTCAACAGAACCTTTTCCACTGGAGCCGTCGGCAGCCGTCAGCAGCGCGAGTCGGCCGCGTCTCAGGAGCAGCATGTCGCGGCCTTTACGCGCCGGTTCTATTTTCTACGTGCAACGCCTCTGAAACGGGTCAAGTTCAACATTTTTGGGGAAGGAAAGACAGGAAATCGGACGCAGAAACAGAGCGAAGCTCCCGAGATTTTCAGAATAAAGTAACGTACTGCCTTCCGGTTGCTTTACTTTAAAAAAGGTTACTAACTGTGCGGCCCCGTGAGAAGTTATCACATAGCTAGCGGTCTCCTTTGTTTTTCAGGTCCGTATTGGCGATTATAAAACGGACAGAACATAAAACACAAATGTTGTAGTTTTCTCCTGCTTTTTGTTGTGTTTACTGACGAAGTCACTCGTGTGACTTCGTGCTCTGTCGGTGACAGCTGCTCCCCTGCTGCTTCGCGTCTCGTGGGAAGGGCCAAGCAGCAGCTTACGCGAGCAAGACGTGCTGCTGACGGCTCCGGTGGAAAGAAGGGGTAACTGAGCTTCTCCCGTCTGGCCGAGCATGTGAATGTCTGGAATAGCCAGAACAGCTTCTCCCCCGACGACACCTCCATCCTAAACAGTTAACCCTAACCCTGCAGATTACGTGTTGTTTCTGTCATCTTTGTTTGTTTTGTGCACCATTAGCTTTTTATTATGCTAACAACAGCTGGAAACAGATTCCCTCTGTGTTTTGCACACTTACAAACTGATTCTGATTCATAGACAGGATCAGGTAATCGCTACATTTAGTGTCTGGTTAGTTGTTTTTGGTCGACAGGTTGAAGTGGATTTGTGACATTTTCACCAACAGAAATAAAGATGTCAGTCTGATCAAACCATGCTTTAAAATGAGTAACATATTGTTGCACTGACATTTGAAAAGTCCTGTTAAGTAATTACTGTCTAGTGACATCTAGTGGTGGAGTTAGGCCCTCACATCTAACACGGTTTAAACGTTTGTTTTCAGAGTAACCAGAGGCTGAGCAGCACCCTGCCCACCCCGGTGGTCTCCATCAGCACACCAAGTCTGCCTCACCAGAGTCTGGACTACCCCAGCATCAGCCCTGCCTACGGTACCTGCCTCTCTGTGCCTGCATGGTATCTTCATAAGGAAATGCTGCCTTTTTTTAAATGCATTGGATGGGTTCTGTTGTCGTTGGTCTGTTGGGTTATTAGATGTAGCTCTGACATCATTTTAGGTTCTTTCATGGGATCACATTTCTATTTGAGTCTCAATAACAATAAGACCATTTTCCAGTGAGATTTCACTTGAACCAGTGTTTGATTGGGCTCGGTTTTATAGCCATCTCCTCGACTGTTGCTGTACGCAACCTGAAAATGACTTCATGTTCCACCAAGACAAGCTGCAGAACACAGCAACACCTGGAGGAAGGGATTCTTGTGTTTATATAAAAGGATGAGTGGCTCCATGAGTGAAATCAAAGGAAGCTGTCAGAAATGACTCACGCATCACAGATCCTGTTGCATCATGAAATCATCAATCAACCCGTTCAGGAAATCCGTGGAACCAAATCCAGAACCTGTTTTTAGACTCAACTAAAGGTTTAATCTCAGTTAAACAGTTCTGAAATGCCATAAAACTGTATCAGGGTTTTTCTAGGTACCTGATTTAATAACAAGCTTTTACTTCTGAAACAAGAAAGGTTGAACATGTTACAGCAGAGCTATTTTTAATAACAGGCTGTAGTTTACTGCAGCTGCAGCCTGGCACCGCTTCACCTGCAGAACCAGGTGGAGGGTCTTCACACAGTCAGTTTGTGTGTCTCTAAACCTCAGCAGGACAAACGGAGAAGCTGTCTACTGGAGCCACTGGTTTATCTGATCATAACAGAAGTGTGTGTGTGTGTGTGTGGTGTGTGTGTGTGTGTGTGTGTGTGTGTGTGTGTGTGTGTGTGTGTGTGTGTGTGTGTGTGTGTGTGTGTGTGTGTGTGTGTGTGTGTGTGTGTGTGTGTGTGTGTGTTTGTGTGTGTGTGTGTGTGTGTGTGTGTGTGTGTGTGTGTGTCAGATTACTCCCTGAACAGTGTGGAGGTGTCAGGCTTCAGCTCTTCCACTGCTCCCTCTCTCAGCTCCATGGCAGCATGGGAGCAGCACCAGTTGAGCTCTTTAAGGTGAGAACCTGACACACTGACTCATACTCAGGGGTCTGCAACCTTGTCTCTGACCAAATATATAAATAATGTGTGTGTAAATAGTATATATGAAGGTTCTGTTCTTGGTGGGTCGGTTTTCTACCAAGACTTGCACACAGAAAAGGTGAAGCAAGTTAATAAACTATTAGTTCAACAAAAATGAGATTTTGGGTCAGAACTGGAGGTGTTTTAGTTAAGCTTAGCCTATCTAAACTAACTGTAGCAGTAAAAAGAAAAAAATATAACATCAACCCCAACAGTTTTGTGTCTGCCCAATCACAGTGCTCTACATTTGTTGGGCGGGCTAATCATCACAAGTGCTGCAACAAAGAAACACTACAAAGATGGCGTTGGCTCAGAAGTGGAGCTTGTTTGAAACTCCTTTGGAATAGTCTTTGGGTGATTTAGACTTGAGCTTTTCTTTGAGTCATGAGCATTTGAGGCACGGTGAATGGCATACTGACTGATTTCAGTGGCGATGTTTGTTCCTCTGATTGGACCTAGCCCTGTCCAGGTACACGCGGAGACCATTTGAAAGACAACCTTAGATCCCGCCCCATGACTGAGCTCTGTTATGGGTTGTTGCCAGACTACCTTTGCATATAAATGATGGTTTACCAGGCTAGTAGTCTTAGTTGTGAAGCTTTAAGTGTTAGTAATGTTGTTCTGCTAAAAGTCCGGGCACCTATTGCAAACATGTGACTGAAAATCTCCAAAAGAAACCATTTGTTTTCATTTTTAACTGAAGTTCATGTCTGTCTTGGTCAAGGCTACAATCCAGATCATTCGACCAGGGTTTAACCAGCAGGGGGTGCTGTCACTCCAAACTCATATCCTCACTCACTCACTCACTCTGTGTGTGTGTGTGTGTGTGTGTGTGTGTGTGTGTGTGTGTGTGTGTGTGTGTGTGTGTGTGTGTGTGTGTGTGTGTGTGTGTGTGTGTGTGTGTGTGTGTGTGTGTGTGTGTGTGTGTGTGTGTGTGCAGTTCAGGCAGCTCTAATCTCTCCATCAACACAGACCACAGCATCACCATCAAAGCTGAGCCGATGTCACCGCCACGCAACCACCTCAACCAGCCCAGTTATATCAGCCTCCGTCCTCCTCCTCCTCCCCCCTCCACCCGAGCAGAGACGGGCAGATCTCCTGCAGACAGCGTGCACTCCTCCTGCAGCTCCCACGAGGAGGGCAGCAACCAGGAGGAGCAGCAGCAGCACCCCCTGGAGCTCCACTCGCTCTCTGGGGGTCGGCTAGAGAGCAGGGAGATTCGGACAGTGAAACGGATGAGGATGGACAGCTGGGTGACATAGAAACGTGTGGTCACGGGCACCTTAAGATCAGGACAAATAGAGCAGGGACACTCTTTATGCAAAGGAAATGATCAGATTTACATAAATGTGTTTATTCCTTTAAATGACGTTTCTTTGTTTTTTGCTGAATGTTCTGACTTGTCAGGAACTCCTGGGCTCATGACATCCTATCTGAAGTACAAGGTATTTTTTCCACCTGTGTCAGGCTTTGGCTTTCTTGCTGTTTCTATGACGATTATAAATAAAATCCACAGTGAAATCAGTCCTCCCCCCACATCATTGTACCTGTTACTTCCCACGGTTATGTTCTTGTTTATATCAGCCAAAGCAGTAAACTGTTTATATTCTCGTTTTCATCATGTTCACACAAACCTTCATCTGGATCTGAACATTAAAGTCATCATCACGTGTATGAGCAGCTGTGAAGTACTAACAACACAGCACTGATGCTCTCTCCTAATGAAAACATATAATAATGACTTCTACATGTTCGTCTCTGAAGAAACCAGAGCGAACTACCAGGGTTTGTTTGGGCTCAGGGTCCAGTTTTGAACAGGTCCTCTAACTATTCAAACACAAGTATGTTATATAATTAAACTAATGTGGAACTGTAGTCCTCATTAACCAAACAAAAACAGAAATCTGGGTGTGGAAAGTTGCGTCCACCTCCAGATCCAGCACATCTATGACATTCATCAGCAGCAAGTGCTTTGAGATTTCTGTCCGACTTTGTCTCTCACATGGTTCTGGACACGGTGCAGTCCATTCTTGTGAGTAATGTTGACTTATTTCCTTCTCAGACATTAGTTTCTGATCATCCCTCTCCATTCAGGTTTACGTCTGAACACTGCAGAGCCTTGATTCCTTTCTTTTCCAGTCATTTTGTTGTAGATTGGCTGCTTGGTCTTGGTTCTGCTTTATGAGCCAGTTTGGTCCAAACCTGTCAGACGGATGGACTCATAAGACTTTAGAATACTTTGGTCTACAGAGGAGTTCATGGTTGACTTTTTAACTGTAAGGAGCCCAGACCATCATCCCTCCTCTGCCGTGCTGCCAGCTGAGATCAGCGGTTTGTGCTGATAAAGTGTTTGGTTTTTACAGAACATTGCTCAGTGCATTATGGGTAAATTTTGCTACTTACTTTCTCTCATCTGTACAGGATGTCCATTTAGGAGTATTCTTTCTGTAGAATGATGGAGTAAAACGTGTTTGGAAATGACCTTTAACCTTTCATAGACTGATGGATAATTACAGCTTCTGAGGTCATTGCTGGTTTTTCTCCTTGTGTTAACACACGCCTGTATGCTCCACAAAACTGTCAAAACTCTTATCTGGAGGAGTTCACACTCATAATGAGCTTGAACCTCTGATCAGCAGCTTCTGTGTAGAGGGGTTAGCTTTTCACACTCAGCTTTTTCAATTTAGCTTCATTTGCCTTCATTTAAAATAATATGGTGGGATCTGTTTTGTATATTTGAAGTTAAATCATTTGAAAACGTGGACCAGATTGTGTTAATACCTCCTGATATGTAAAACATTGTTAACGCTCTCTAGACTGTTGTCACTGATTCACATCAAACCACTTCTGACTCTAAGGCAGTATCAGGATTAGTGCCTTCATCAGAAACCTGCCATTTCAAATCCTGTACATGTCTATGATTACATAATAAAATCTAATTGATCATTACATAGTTGTTATCTTAACATCAGATGATAAATAGTTCTGTTTTGAAAACTGCATTTTCAAACCATCATCATTTAGGCTTGAAAGGTTAACTTCACTGAAAAACCATTTAAAATGATTATTTCAGATCATAATCAGTCACTCAAGAGTTTTTCATGCAGGCTAAACATGAAAATAGTCTCACAACAGGGAAGGCTGCTGTTGGTTTAGCGTCCTGGAAAGAGATGTTGGCTACTAGAAGCTAACCATTAGCATTAGCAACTCCACCACACAGCAGAACTCCTCCAGGCTTGTGGTATTTGTGGAGATAAAACATCAATGTTGCAGAGCAAACAGAGTCAGCGGTAGAGTTGGGTTGTTGTTATCGAACCAAAGGCAAGTTGTCCAAATATCAGGAAATATGACTCCAAATCCTGCCGTATTTTGTCACCTACTCCTGCTAATGTTTCCATTCTCCATCAGGTCCTCCTTACAAGGCATTCATTCCTACTAGAGACCACTGCAGATGTATTAAAAATATGAGTAAAGTTGACCTTTAAAAGGTTAAAGAGAGTGGACCTTAGTTTAACCCTGACATAGTTTCATGCTCAAACTATCCTCCTTTAGCTATTAAAATTTTGATACATATAAAACCTTTAGAAATCAAAAGCGTCCCCAGGTAAAGAACACTAAACTTCACCGCTGAGAAACAGGTGGGTTGATGCAGAGGAACGACTGTGGTGAACGATGCAAACGCTGCAAAAGACAAACCACAACGGACGAAAATGCATCAAGCATGAATGTCAACTGAAAGAAACACTAAGACTGAAAGTGTCTTCTAACACACATATTTAATTGATATCTTGTATTGATGCACTAGCACTGTAATTAAATATGGTCGCTGTGGTTCAGACAGAATTTCTGATGGTACAACAACCCAGACTAAAGAGCTTGCACTGGTTGCTTTAATTGTAGTTCATGTACCTCTGCAAGCTAAAGCTAAGACGGCCATGGAGACGCTCCATCACTCATCATTTAACCAGTCTGGTCTGTACCATCACTTTAGGTGACTATAGTCTTGCTAATTTAAAGAGTGTTTTATGTGAATGTGAACTTTCTAACAAGCGAAACAACACTGTGGGTCAAAGACAAACATCCTGAATGCCTACAACCCCCCCCCCCCACCCCCCCACCCCCACCCCCGCCGCATCTTCGTACCTGTGTAGCCTGTTGATGACATGCTCATTAAAATCAGATGTGTTGAAGCAGGAAACAACTAAAACCTGTTAGATAGGGGCCCTCAAGAACTGGATTTGGAAACCCCTGCAAGAATGCCTTGAGAACACAAACTGGGAAATATTTGCAGAAGGGCCAGTGCTAGAGGGCCACATATCTGTTCTACTTTTAATTCTTTACAGCACGTTACCTACATAAAGTCTATCAAAAATGTTCCTAACCCCAAAGCAGAATGGGCTCTGTCACTTTAATAAAAACAAGCTGTTGCTGGCCACGCCCACCTATAACCTGATTAGCTGTGTGAGAAGATCAGATATCAGGGAGGGGCTCGGAGTAGAGAAGTTGCTCCTCCAGTGTCGATGGGTGAGAGGGGGGTTCTATGCTTAATTTCCCTATTGTGACATCACAGGGTTGATCTGTATGCCTCAGCAACAACACAGCACAGCAAAGGCAGTGCAGTTAAAGTTTCAGCTCATTCTCATGCTTTTAGTCCGTCTCTGAGCAGGAAACTAATGCGTGCATTGAAACAGAAAGCTCTGGAACAGAGACTCCACCCCGTAGCCAATCAGTGACCGACAACCGCTGATGTTTTTTGACCAGGTTAACATAGGTATCACAATGAAGCAGCGGGTAAGGAAATACCTAACCGTGCTGTTGGAAAAGTCAGACTGAACCGCAGCCACCCGAGTTGTGCTGAGCAGTGCAGGAAATCCAACACCATTATCACAAACACCTCACACCCATTTACTCTCCCCCTTTCTTCCCCCTAGGCGTGTTTACAGGTCACTCAGGTCAAAACCCACTCAACTCAATATGAGCTTATATCATCACTTAGTCAAATATGTCTCCCCTCCTCCTCCATCGAGTGACACTCCACACAGGGCAGTGCGGTATTATATCACTCTTCACGAACACTAATCTGAGCGACATTTACTTAGTTTTCTAGATATTTATTTTTAGCAGCATTCATGCAGGTTGTGCAAATTTGTTTCTAGATGTCTTTACAGTATAACGTAATTTTACAATAAATTGTGCAATGTATTCCTTCCACAACCTTACATGTGTATAGAGACTGAATCATTTTCACATACATTTTTTGCCATGAGGAACAGCCCCCGCACACACACACACACACACACACACACACACACACACACACACACAGTTTTTAGTTGTTCTTGTAACCGTAACAATAAGGGTGTTGGTTCTATTCCTGTTAGCGAGCATGACCGTATAACAATTGCACAGAAAGCTTCTAGTAACTGAATCTGTGGGTTTATGTGGTGCCAGAAATAAAAGCAACAAAGTGCAAATTAAAGCTGGGATACAAATTAGGTGATGGTGATTCAGCACAGACAGAAGAATGTAATCATTAAGAAATGCCTCAAAAGAGTGTCCAATTAGTGTGAACGACACAGTAAAGAGCTGATTGGCTGTTTTTAGATCATTGTTTTAGGATGATAAACAAGCAGCATGTGGCTGGAGTGCTGTGTGGTGGAGAAGTAGGCCTACAGCAAAAAGGCAAATCAAGGAGGAAACTAGGTATGGATGGTGGACATGCAACATAAACTGCCAAACGGTCCGTTTAATATGTAGAAACGCAGCAATGAAGCTCTGTTTTAGTGTTGAACGAAAAAAAAGTATTGTGTATTTTTTTCTAATACAAGATAGAGAAGTGGTCAAACATTACTTTTCAAGTTTCAGTTAAACAGACATGAATATGCTCAACAACAAAACTCAGCTAGGCTGTAGAGGTGGTACTAAGGGGTAAGAAGAGAAGAAGAAAACCATCTTTTATATAGCGCCTCTCAAGATACAAATCAAAAGGTGCTTCACAAGAACAAAAACATTAAAATATAAAAAAAGATTAAAGGTTAAAAAATACAGTTACAATGAAAGAAATTGATAAAAAATGTAAGGAAAGGGAAAATGAATAGGAAAGAGGGAAATCAGTGGATCCCAGGTGTTGGGTAAAAACAGTATAGGATATAAACGGTATGGAAATTATTTTGTCTGGGTAACATCTGGTGTTTTTAAATTAAACGAAGGTTAATTTCATTCTCATTATATTTTATTATTACTCTGTAACTCCGGCAGGGAGGTGTTCAACCTCAGCCTTGCTTGCAGGTCCTGTTATCAGTAAGCTCCCTAGAGAAGTCCAGACTACTGTTTCTCTGTTATACCAAGCACCTGGGAATGTCTTTCTCCCTGGGTGAGAGTCTGGGAACAGTGTGTGTGTGTGTGTTTATCTTTTACTGTGTGTGTGCTGTGTAATTTCAATAAAACCTTTCTGAAGGCGTTTGCCTGACGAGAGACCGAACAGACATACGACTGGTGTGTGTACCTTCTTTCTCTCCGACTTTGCAAAGTCTGATTGTTGATTATTCTGGTGTTTGATTATTTGGTTATTGGTATTGATAATCTAAAACCTGATAACTCTAACCCCCTTGTGTGTGTTGGATTTTCTTTGAGGTAATCCTGGATTGAATAATAAAATTACCCAACACCAGGAAAGGTGGAGTTAGTAGAAAGATCAGAACAAGGAAAGAGTGAAGAAGGTCATACAAAAGCCAGCTTGAACAGGTGAGTCTTCAGCTGCTTTTTAAAGAAGACCACTGAGTCCACTGATCTCAGGCTCAGAGGAAGAGAGTACCAGAGTCTGGGGGCCACAGCAGCAAATGATCTGTCACCTTTGGTCTCTAGCCTGGTGCTGCACAACCTGTAGGCTTTGGTCACTGGACCTCAGGGACCTGCTGGGGGTGTAGGGACTAAGATCACTGATGTATGATGGTGCTTGTCCATGTAAGGCCCTAAAGACCAGGGGCCTCATTTATAAAGCTTGCTTACGCGCAAAACGGGGTCGGAAAACTGCGTAAGCAACTTTCCACGCAAACTTTGGGATTTCTAAAAGAAAACTTAGCGGAAAAATGTGTGCAACATTAAGTTGACTAAGGACCTGGCTTATGCACATTTTGGACATGGAGACCATCTGCAGTGCTGCTGCTGAGAAGATACAATTATGCACTCACAGAACAAGAGATCCTAATGGCGAGTGGTGGGAGGATCAGAGGTACCAGGGCCTCCGCATGTGGCAGACACACTCTGGCGGCGGCTAAACGTCTTTTTTTTTTGCCTCCACCTTCAGATCAGACCGTTTTTTTTATATCCACCACAGATCTCTCTGAAGAACTCACAGCATTGGCGGCTTCAGCAACACTGTGCCACTCCGTGGATTTTCTCTTATTTATTTTGCAAAAGCACTTCCTTTCATTTCTCTACCTCACCCACAGGTACCTCAATTTCTGCTTCGGTTAAAATGATCTTCCTTGATCTGCGGTCGCAATCTTAATGGCGGAGCGTTGCAACGAACCGGCTTATGTATATGCATGAGATCCACAAGGCACTTTGCATTGACCATTTATGGCAGAAAGTTGGCGTGTTGAGGGCGGGATCAAAAAACAGCTGAGCACATTCCTAGGAAGTTTCTGATTCATAAAGCAAAGATTACGTGCAGCTGTGCGTACTCCATGTTTGATAGATCACAAACTTACTTGGCGTAAGTATATTTTTTTGCTGAGCATGAGTACGGTTTTAGTAATTATTCTACATAATGTTTTATAAATGAGACCCCAGAACCAGGATCTTGAAATGAACCCTGAAGTTGACTGGCAGCCAGTGAAGCTGGAGGAGAAGTGGGGTGATGTGGGTGTGTTTGGAGGACTTGGTCAGAAGCCGAGCACAGGCATTCTGAAACACCTGTAGACGGTTCAGGGAGGTTCTGCTCAGACACGTGAAAAGAGAGTTACAGTAGTCTAAGCGTGAGGAGATGAAGGTGTGGATAACTGTCTCAAGTTCAGAGCAATGTTCCTGAGATGGAAGAAGGAAGAGCGAACAAGAGAACTGACATGAGAATCCAGGGTGAGAGCTGGGTCAAAGGTCATGCCAAGATTCCTGACAGAAGGTTTGGTGTGAGAAGCAAGCTGACCAAGAGAGTCTCTGACTTTGGGAACCAGCTTGTCTGGGGCACAGATGAGGATCTCAGTCTTATCTTCATTCAGTTGTAGAAAGCTCCCAGCCATCCAGGTTTTGATAGGGTCTAAGCAGGTGTGTAACAGCTGCAGCTTAGACATCTCCTGGGGCTTAAAGGAGATGTACAGTTGGATGTCATCTGCATAAAGGTGGTAGGAGATTCCTTTGAAGGAACTCAGGATGTGCTGAAGAGGAAGCAGATAGAGGAGGAAGAGCAGAGGCCCCAGCACTGAACCTTGTGGGACACCATGGGTAAAAAAGGTGGTGGAGGACCTAAACTTGGAGACAGCCACAGGAAAGGAGCGCTCAGAGAGATAAGAGGAGAACCACTCCAGAGCAGATCCTGATAGGCCTACCCCGCCTCTCAGTCTCTCCAGTAGCAGGTGATGGTCAACAGTGTCAAAGGCTGCAGTCAGGTCCAACAGGACCAGAACAGAACAGTCCCCTGCATCACTGTGAGTCAGAAGGTCATTAGAGACCCTAAGAAGAGCTGCTTCAGTAGAATGAGCTCTACGAAAACCTGACTGGAAGCTATCATAGACGTTATGTTCATCAAGAGCAGCTGTGAGTTGTTTAGCCACAACCATTTCCAAGATCTTGGAGATGAACGGAAGTTTAGAGATGGGTCTGAAGCTGCTATGGAGAGAGGGGTCGAGGCTCAGTTTATTAAGAAGCGGTTGGATTACAGCATTTTTAAAGTAAGCAGGGACCTGACCAGAGACCAGAGAAGCTTTAATTATAGAGAGCACACTGGGGCCGATGGACTGAAAAGCACTTTTAAACAAAGATGAGGGTAAGATGTCGAGGGGGCATGCAGAGGTCTTCATACAGTTAACTAGTTTGGTTAACTCAGGCAAAGAAACAGGAGCAAAGCTATCTAGGATGATGGGCCTGGTTGGAGTCGGG